GGTAAGTTTTAACCCCTTTCCCCTTCCAGAGCCGGGCGGGAGGGGGACCCTGAGGGTGGGGGCACCCTCAGGGCACTATAGTGCCAGGAAAACGAGTATGTTTTCCTGGCACTATAGTGGTCCTTTAACTTTGCCTTGGACTGAATATGTTACCCCCTATGTAACTGTGCAGAATACACAGTATACAACCTTTCCCAGTACACTGTAGCAATATGAACAAAGTAACAGACAGCCCACATGAAAAAGGATTTAAGATATAAACTAACTAAATAACTGATTCAAAGACATGTGCAAAGATGAAAGATATTATTTTGATCATTTATGAACAGTATATGTTAATTAAAAATTCCAAAAAGACCATATAATAGTGCTCAAATAGCTCAGTCACAAGAAAATGCTAAATCATTTAATATGTTAAGGTTAACTGTGTCAAATTTTTTTTATATTGTATGCACTACACATACCTCCCAATGGCCCTGGGTTCTGTAGGATACTGCAGAATTTGGGCTCCTGGTCTGCCATCGTGGTTTGGTTGGCATGTGTTCCACATCAAGAAACACTACGACCAAGTACAATGGGGGGACATGCATTTCTCAGTAGTGGTGCTGCCATAAATACCATAAATACCAAAATATATACAAAATTACAAAATACAGCACACACAAAAAATACAGTTTTAAAATTTACAAGGCTGCTTAAAATCATCTATTTTAGCAAAGAAATATGGGAATTCAGTTCCACCATATGGCCATATTGTGATAAGCTTACCAATATCGGTTGCAATAATGTTAACATGGGAGATTAACATGCGAATGCAATACTTACTTTTTATATTGCTTCCAGAGACTCTTCTCACATATATGCTTTTCTGTGGGTGTGACCCCTAATTCCCTTTTTTCTGTCTATATTTGGATTCTAGACAGATTTCTTATGGGTTGAGGACCCCACCTCTCGACTATAGATGCACCTTTGAAGGTGACCACAGGAAAGCATACATTTGAGGAGAGTCTCCACAAATATTTTAAGCAGTAAGTACTGGAGTTTAACATATTAAAATGAATGTAGGACCCAGCTCTGCTAGGGTACTGTGGCACAGTGGTGGGTTTCATACAATATGGCTATGAGGTGTAGCTGAATCTCCACATTTGTTTGCTAAGCTAGGTGATTTCAAGCAGCCTTGTAAAATTTTAAACATTTTTTTTGTATGTACCCTGTTCTGTAATCTGTATCAAGTACATATATCTATCTGTATTATGATGCAACTTTGGCAACCTATAACAACCTTATATTTTGTGATTTAATTTGATTTAAGAACATTTTGGTAGAATAGACCAAGCTTATTATAGTGTAATCACAATTTAATGTTAAATAATAAAAAAGTGCAATAATTCCATGTATAGTTAAGTTGAATCAGACATTTATAGATTAATAAAACAATTGGATAATTGCATTGTATTCTCCTGATGTCTTGGAGTTTGTTTTTAAGTAATACTACTATTGAAATGTAACATATTCCAATCACACTGTAGAATTATTGTAATACTAAGAATTGAACAGAAGATGGCACCATCACATTTCTTTAACATTATTTTATTTTACCACTATAACACTGATATTAAAAATGAGTCTGCTTCCAAATTATAAAACGCCACATTATTAAACCCTTCAACCTGAATCTAAAAGTGTATATGGAAAATCTAGGAATAATTCTAGTTCTTCGCATATCAAATTAAATGTAACCCCTACTGATTTTGCTCCTTACCTAATTTAAAAACATAACTTAATGGCACAAAATAGGGACATTCAATGAGTAGAGAATGCAGTTTACCCTTTAAAATCTCCTATTCACATTATTGAACCTAGTAATTACATTGAAAATTACAGTTTTCACTGTGTTTAGTGATACATACGAAATTCTGCTAAACACTTTTCAACAAAAAATATTTAAACCAAGAGAATATGATGAAAGATTCGATGCATATGTGAGAAAGATGAAAAATATTTGTACTATACGAGTCTACTTTCTATATGGCACCATTAGTAGATCGAAGGAGAAAGCACAGATCTCCAAGTATGAACTTGGCAACATTTCACTCTACAATGAGGTATTTTTCAAGCCTCCGAGGAATAAATATCCTATTTCAGAAATTTGTGGCTACATTGGTTTTGTCTCTTTCATCGGACAGCAGGAGCCCTGTACCCAGCAAAAATTCACATATTGTGGATCCTTGTTATAGCTTTCATTCAGGTTAATAGCTGGGAAACATATATTTGGTATTGTGGTATTGTGGCTCTGTGACAGTTCTATGCCCACCAAAAGAGGGAGTTATGGGGAATCTGGTACAGTGCATTTATCTTTTGCACCCTGCTAACTTGATTCCTAGTGCATGCCTGCATAGTTCAAACTACAGGATTTGACAAAAGGTAGATCCTTACATGTTCTAATTGCTGACAAAGCATCATGGCAGTTGTAGTTTTACAACATCTGGGACTGTACCTTCTGCCCAGGCATGGTTTACGGCACAGAGTTATGACATCACACTGGTGTGAACCGGTGATCAGGGAGAAGTGTAAAGGTGTATAAAAATTATACACGCAGCTCTGTTCAAAACACCAGAGCACCATGAACCAGCATGAGGAAGGGGGATTGTTGGATGTCAGAACTTACATTTTACACTCTGCCCACTGCCCATTTGTTTTCATTGTGTCTGTATTTCAAGAATACATACTTGGTTTGAAACTCCTGCATCATTTTGGGGGTAAGTTTGTATATTCAGCTGACATGTCAGATGCAGCACACTCACTCATTCACTAAACACCAATTTCAAGTCTCACAGAATGTAATAGTTTTATTTAAAACCACCTCATGTAGACAAAAAATAATGGGTGTTTAGTTACAGTATATGATCATACATTGCATAAACCTGCCACAATCTCAATGTACTCCATTCCTGGCAGGTAGGTCCTACTCTAGCATCTTAATCCCTGCTCTTATGAGATTAATCCACTTACTTGGGAAATCATTCCTCCTGGGACTCTCTGCAGTGCAAAGTTAAATAGGACCCTAGAACGAGAAATCTGTGACAGGGAGGCCTGGACTCCCAAATATACAAATGTGAAACCAAGATGACTGCACCATATTTTTGACAGGTCTTATCCTAGCAACATACATTGGGGGTACATTAGTATTGTGGCAGGCTTATGTGATGCATGATCCTATACTATAACTAAACCTCCTTTATTTTTGGTATTTAAAAACAAAACAAAACTATTATATTCTGTGAGCTTTGAAATTGCTGTATAGTGAATGAGTGAGTGCGCTGGATCTTGTATATTGTAGAAGTTGGCCCCAGCAACACCCCTATAATGTGCATACTAATTCATTTATGTTCAGGTATGGGCAGCCTTCTTGGTCCCAACTGATGCAGGGTGATGACATCAGGACCTAATTCCTTTTAAACCCCTACCTTTTTATGGGCAGAGCCCTTTCATGGTTTTGTGTCCCTACGCATGTCATTATTGAATATCATTGCTTTTTTAAAGTTTTTTTGATGCAGTTTGCTCCTGACACTAATTTTTACCAATTTCCCTAAGTTGGCTTGTTCCTGACCCTGATTTTGCTATTCTGTTTTCTCTGCCTTCTCTTCACTATTGATACAGACTTTTGTTATGCTGGCCTTAGTGGTTATCTTTTTTAGTTCTGTTAATTCCTTTTTCGTTCTTAGTATTAAACACTTACCCTCTAAGGTCTGGTAATTTGGCTGGCTATCATTCCTATGTCTTCGATAGGTTGCTGACCTGCTGAGGATCGGTCGCATTTACTAACATATATACTTTGAGGTAAAGGGTTATGAAAGCACAGTATGCAATGCCACAATCCATCAGCTTGTACAATCAAGGTCCTCACTGAGAAGTAAGGGATCAGTATGCAGAGGTACAATAAAATGTTAAATGTGCACATCTACTGTTCCAGGGAACCAGCCAAATTAGGAGATGGAGGTGGGCAGAAAGAGGGAGAAAAATCCAAAGGAGGTAAACTGGACGGCATAGTAAATTTGGTGAGGCTAAGGTTAATTGTTGGTTGAATGTAACTATCTTTAGTGGGTAAGGAGGAGGTTAATTATACGGTACTGTAGGAATATACATTTGGAAGGGAGGAGGGTTCATTGGCAGAGAATTGTGGAAATGTAAATATTAATGAATTGGCAGAGTAAAGTTTGAATATTATTTTTGGAAGAGAGATAATGTCTGGGGGTAAACTCTGTTGTGAATTGTGAGAGTAGAATAAGCTTTTTAAGGACTTTTATAGCTCCAAAATAAAAAGGAAGCTTTTTAACCCATGATCTTCATTAAATCTGGTATCTTAATAAATACAGTGCTACAAGTGGCTATTTAGTGCATCTTCCCATGGATACAAAACTTTAAACAAATCTGCAGTAATTATTTGATTATTTTCTAAACATTTCATAATGCTGTGTGCTCTGTTTCAAAGTAAAGTATTTTTATACTATTTCAAATTAGTACAATCAGAGAAATATGATAATTAAAACAACAATTTAGATTCTGCTATCTGGAATCAATGTTTAACTGGTTACATCTCTAGTTTCCCCCTGAGCATATAATCAAGTGACAAATTTCTTGCAGGTAATAGAATCTCATTCTATATGCGACTCATGGATGTTTAGTTGGTAATTGAGACATGCAGATACACAAAGCGACAGCAAATGGCAGGGACAGCTGGTCTATCATGTACTGAGAAATACGTTTGTCTGTTCAGCACTTTTGCGAACATGTGTTTCTGCAGTCAGAGATTACAAAAACAGCTTCTTAAATTTGAAATTACCTACAGAAACAGCACAACGTACAGAATTCTGATTTTCAGTATTTTATTTTTTTTTACTTTTATTTTCTAGCACTTCAGCTTTTCCAAATATAAACATGCCATGGAGGTTTAACTGAAAATAGCACAAAGAGGAAAACAGAGACGTCTTGGAAAAACAATGGGACAGAAACTTACAAGCCAGTCGTCCAAGACCAAAAAAAAAAAAGGTCAGACATTTTCAGAAAACCAGATCATCCACAACTCTCCAGATAATATCGATGAGCCGATGATAATAGAATCTTCATGCGTCAATTTCAACTTTGTTTTGAAAAATGTTGCAGAAATCCCAAGCTTTGTATGGCATCTGACTGACGTCCAAAAACTCAATCTCTCTCATAACAGATTGGCTAAACTTCCACCTGCTCTGGGTAAGCTTGAACAAATAGTTGTATTGAACTTAAGTTGGAATAATATTGTTTACTTGCCCAGAGAAATTGGACTTTTGAAGAACCTCAAAGTCTTATTTGTTAATATGAATTTTTTGTATGACGTCCCCGAGGAGCTGAGTTTGTGCAATAAGCTTGAAGTTCTTAGTTTATCACACAATTGCATCTCTGGACTTCCTACCCCCTACAGCGACTTAACTAACCTGAGAAAATTAAATCTTAGCAATAATTGGATAGTGAACATTCCTGTGAGTGTTTTCCAGATGAGAAATTTGAATTTTCTGCATTTGGGTTCCAACAAAATAGAGAATATCTCAGACAACATTAAACAATTAGAATGCCTGAAGATATTTATTGTTGAGAATAATAAAATACGAGTTTTACCTCGGTCTATTTGCTCACTATCTACTCTTGAACTACTAAATGCAGATTTTAATGTTTTAAAGACACTTCCAGATGATCTATTTATGTTAAATAGATTGTCAAGAATCGCATGGAATCCAATTGACAAAGGTCTCCATATAATAAATAATCCCTTAGGTGATCCTCTCGCAGATTTGGCAAGAGGGGGGCTGAGTATGCTATTTGATTACCTAAAAGACAGAAAGAAGATGATGTGACAACAAATATATTGTCTGGGAAGGGGAATGCCCTGGCGATTTTATGGGTCACTGCCTTTGTTTGGTTTAGAAGATGTTCCTCCACCTACTGTATATGGTAATACATGTAAAAGCTTCTTAAGGACATACTATGAGCATTAAAACAATGAAAAGCTTAATGAAGCAGTTTTGATGTATACATAATGTCCCTGCTGTCTAACTGCTCAATTATCTGCTGTCCGAGGGTTAAATCACTTTGATTATGCAGCCCTGCCTACATCTACCATGGCTGTGAAATACAAAACCTCCTAAAAAACTTTTTGGGGTGTGTTTACTTTAGAAGTTATCATCTACTCTGTTTATTGACCTTTAATCACACAGGAAGACACAGGAATCTACTGTAGGCTCTCGCAGGAGATAATACAATCTAAATTAAATTCACTGTGAAATAAGGGAAGCTAAAATATTTAGCCTCCTTTTCAGGAATTGTGTAGGGGGCTGTGTGAGTCTCTGTCGGGCGATGTGCTTCATAGACAGAAACAAAATTGATTTACCTCCAAAATGGCAGAGAAATGAGCTGTGAGACTGGAGGGGCATGATCTATACACCAAAACTGCTTCATTAAGGTAAAGTTGTATTGGTGTTTAAAGTATTTATTTTTTAAATAATCTAACTGGTGTCTTGCATTAGAGGTGCTAAATAATGGAGATCTTAATAAAGAAATCAAATGGCAAATCCATTCAGTGTTATTTATGAGCATTCACACAAGGAAATTCAAAGTTAATTTCAAATTCAAAGGAACACTATAGTCGCAACAACTTAAGCTTAATGTAGCCCCATTTAGCCAAAGCGCAGCTAAGCGAAAAAAGGCCTTGACAGGGTTTAGGAGGCGGGCATAGGAGGAAACAAGGAAGGAATGGAGTTATGGGTAAGTAGGCTTGGCTATTTAAATAGGCATCCATTTTAAATGATTCACTTTTAAATTCCTACCTGGCTGAGTTTGTCCCGCCCACCCTCCCTGAGTTTTTGGTTGCCGATTAGGGTTATCCCGTTTTCTCACAGCAGCGTGATAGGGAGCTGAAGGATAAGAAATAGGCTCCCTAGGATGAATGTCATGGAGACGGAAAACTGTGGTCATTGGTGGTTGGTAGGTTTCGAGTCCTGTCGGTGGCTCAGAACCTGGTGGGGTAGGGGTATCCGGGTAAACCCCTGCCATGATTAATTTATGTTTGGCACTTTAAGTTGGTATGTTGGAATATGTTGGTATATATGTTATATATATATATATGTGTGTTAATTATATGGGGGTCATTGCCTTTTATATCAACAGAAGTATTCGGATGCGAGGGCGGAGTATGGGGGGCAATGACTCATGTTTATTTGTTAAATGATTATTATGGTTATTATTATTATAATTAATAAATTGTTATTATTCAAGATTGTTTAAATAAAGCTGTGGACAAATTTTCCCATATACCTGCATGTCAGTGCGTTATTGGGTTAGGTATGTGGGGGGTTGTCCTGGAATCCGACTGCCCATATGGCGACTATACACCGGTCATGCTTGCATGCTTTTTTCTGTAAACACTGCCTTAGCAAGAAAAGCCAGTGTTTATATTCCTGTCTAGTAACACCTCAAATGGCAGTCCCTCAGAAGCTCTGCGTCAAAATGCTGAACTTTCCCCACAAAGATGCATTGATTCAATGCTGATTGTCCAGTGGGGCATTTGGCTCCACCCCCAACCATGCCTCCTTGGCTGAGATCAGAATTAATGATCTCAGTCAACCCAAAGGAAAGCATTGGATCTGTGGCGAACACAGAACCAGCAGAACCGTGCGGGAAAGGGGGGGAATGGGGGAGCGGACACCTAAATAGTGCTTTTCATACATGGTGTTCCTTTAAGGCCAAAATAGCCAAACTGGAAACATTGTCTATGTCAGCTATGTTTTTAGTTCAGCCTTATATTTGACATTTACTTTAAATTCTCACTTTAGTGATTAAGCCTGTTTGTTTCACAATTAAATTTATATGCATTTCCTCTATATATTTCCAATATTTATAAGTCTTTTAACGAAAGTGCTGCTTTAAATGTTTTTTTTCTTCTGCATGTTAAAGGGTTAATTTTGATGTTGTTTAGCTAAGTTAATGTGGCTGCAGGATCCTTATTCATTGCTGTGTAGATTGATATGCTTGAGAAGGACACTTAGGTGTCGAAACCAGTCGGTGTATTGTGTTATCTTTCCAATCCCGATATATTGCAATGTGAAGCACTTACTTAGTGCAATATAATAAATAATATTGTTATACTATATTATAGCAGTGTTTATTTATTTAATTCCCCATCCCCCTGAATTCACATGTAGAAAGAAAGAAAATACAAGGCAATATAGCAAAGGGAATCTGGTCTTAAATTATTAAGGAAATTGTCCTATTCACAAAGGAATGGAGCTTTTACACATAAAGCCCCCACAAGCTGTAAAACCTTGTACCATCTACAGCTGGCGATCCCAACACGCAATATGTGTAACCTCAGGGGTACAATCCAGTTCCCCCACGGGTACACAAAATAAATTAGCTAATGGCAATTCTGGTGCCGGTGCAGCCTCACTGCACAGGTTGGGAAACACTGGGTGAGGGTCCATTGGAAAGCCCATGCACTTAGGGCCAACCGATGTGCTTGTGCTCTAAGGGGTCTAGTCATGTGATGCAGCACTTTAACAGTGTGACTGTGCCGCTTCTAATCCACAGGGAATTCTGGGAGGAAGTGAGAGTTGGTCACTTACTCACTGCTCACTCACACTGAAACCAGCCATGCTGGAGGGGCAGCAACAGGGGTGGGTGGAAGTGTGGTGGTGTTGGTGGTGGGGGAGGGGGGCATCTTGAAGATTTTAAATTGTTTATTTATTTAAAAAATGTATATATTTACTTAAAAAAAAAAAGATAACTTTTATTATATCAAAGCCTATACAGTAATCAAAGTAAAAATACTAATAATAATAACAAAACCTGGGAATATAGGTAGCTTGCCCTTCGGTTAGACCCTGCTCAGGTCTCTATACATTTGAATGAAGTAGTTTTGGTGTATAGATCATGCCTCTGCAGTCTCACGTCTCAGCCCCTATTTAAAGTACCTCTGTCACGACAAGATTTTGCATATTTTATATTCCCTTATTTCTTCACATTAAAAAAGCATGCTGTGTTATAAAAAATAAATATAAAGAAGTTTTAACTTCCTAAACTTTTGCAGGCTGATGCATTCTTCTCACATCTTTGATCTTCTTGTTCTTTAAAACTCTTTGCACCATAGCTAAATTGCTATATTCACACATTTCTACATTGTGCTCAGCACTTGATCACAAAAGGTCAAACATGAAAAATATAGCTGTCATAAAACTGGACAAATTCTCCAAGCTTGGATATTTGCTTTACATTTTGAAATTCCCATAGTTTTATAATTCAAAGTTTCGTAAATAAGCTCTATTGAATTAAAGCTTAAAATGCAATATGGCTCTATAGGTATGTACTACACAACTGTAGGTGAACAGCACAGTGATAACAAAGTCAGACATATCAAAGGTGAGTAAAAGTACATCACATATAATTATCATCTACAGACTTGCTAGTCTCCTGACTATCATAAACTACTGGGTTTAAAGGGACACTGTAGTCACCAAGACAACTTTAGCTTAATGAAGTAGTCTTGGTGTATAGATCATGTCCCTGCAGTCTCACTGTTCAATTCTCTGCCATTTTGGAGTTGAATCACTTGGTTTATGCAGCCCTAGTCACATCCAGGCCCGGACTGGCCATCGGGCATACCGGGATCTCCCCGGCCGGCCTCTGCAGGGCCAGCGCCATCCGAGCGCCGGCCCTGCTGTGTGCCTCTGTGGGCAGGTGGGGAGATCAAAGATCTCCCTCACCAGCCCAGAGGCAGGGAGATGCGGCCGCCGGCTGGGTGAGGGAGGGAGGGAGGGAGGAGAGAGGACCCGGCGGAGCTCTAACAAGCAGCACCCCCCAGACACACACAGCACCCAGACACACAGCACCCCCAGACACACACTGCACCCAGACACACACAGTGCACCCAGACACACACAGCACCCCCAGACACACACTGCACCCAGACACACACAGCACCCCCAGATGCACACAGCACCCAGACACACACAGCGCACCCAGACTCACACAGCGCACCCAGACTCACACAGCACCTCCACACACAGCACCCGACACAGACAGACACACAGACACACACAGACACACAGCAGACACACACAGCACCCCCAGACACACAGAACCCCAGACACACACAGGACACACACACAGACACCCAGACACACACACAGCACCCAGCAGACACACACAGCACCCCAGACACACACACAGCACCCAGACACACACAGCACCCCCAGACACACACAGCACCCCCAGACACACAAAGCACCCCCGACACACACAGAACCCCCAGACACACACAGAACCCCCAGACACACACAGAACCCCCAGACACACACAGAACCCAGACACACACAGAACCCAGACACACACAGAACCCAGACACACACAGCGCACCCAGACACACACCGCGCACCCCCAGACACACTCAGCGCACCCAGACACACACAGCACCCATACACACACAGCACCCTCACTCTCCCACACATATACAGCACACACATATATATATAAAATAACCCTCAGTGAGTTAACAGACAAAGAAAATTAGAAACCTAGAATGTTACAGCAGATAAAAACACCCTCACACACAGCACCCCTCTTACATACACACACTGCGCCCCTCACACATACAATAAGTCCAAATATATATATATATATACATACACACACACACACACACTACAGCACCCCTCACACTGCACCACTACACACATTACGCTCCAGATACACACTAGATCCCTTACCCTATATGCACTCTTAATCCTCTTAACACACACACACACACACACACACACACTGGGTCCTTTACACAGTAGATCTCCTACACACACACACACTACATTCCTTGTCAGCAAACACATACAACATTCTCTAAACACACCCTCTCTGCAACCCCTACACACACTACGTCACCTATACACACACACTTCAGCCCGTATGCACACACTCGCTGCATCCCATATAAAACTATGCCCCCTATACACACACTCTCTACAGCCCCTAGCCACACATATTACACCACAAACACAAATTAAATTGACCTATTTATACAATACCACACCACACTCTACACACACGCAATCCTACAAGCAGGCTCCAAACATATGCACCATGCACTTTCCTGGCCCTTTTGTCCTCTGGTATCCCACTTGTGGAGACACCAGAGACAATGTAAAAGCAAACACAGCGCAAGCATGTTATTAAATTTGCTTGCGCTGCGCAGAACAAATTCAGGGCCTTTTTCTAATGCCAGAGCTCTTCAGCAGGGCTCTGGGCATTGAACCAACATGCTCACATTGAGAGGGGGCATGTTGTCATTAGTGATGACAAAACACACACTCTCTGGCCCCGCCCCCTTCTTAGGGGGCCGCTCTGATTGAAAAATGACTGGGCCTAATTTTTTTCCCAGTCCGGCCCTGGTCACATCTCCTGCATGTGACGTACACAGTCTCCCTAAACACTTCCTGTAAAGAGACACCTAATGTTTGTATTTCCTTTATTGCACATTCTGTTTTATTTAGAATTTATCTCTTGCTCTGTTAATAGTCATCTAGACGCTGTTGGCATCCTGTGTGTGATTAAAGTTCAATTTACAGAGCAGGAAATAAAAACATTTAAAGCAAGTTAACATCAGATTGTAAATTAAACCAGTTGTTTTTGCATGTCAGTCACAGTCATTGGAGGTGTGGCTAGGGCTGCAGTAACAAAAGGGATGTAACTCCTAAATGGCAGAGAATTGAGCAGTGATTACAATAATCTAAGTGGACGTTCCATATCTTTTTTTTAGCTCCTGCCTACTTGCCTCCAGAAAGGGGAATAGAGAAATATTTTTGCATAATTATTTTAAATTTTTATTTTCCAGCTCATCTCTGGCAGTGTTAAAATTTGCAAGCTCCTCCCCTTTCAGGTAATACAACTTAAAGAATAGGAAAACCAAAGCTATATAATAGAACGCCTAACAGAAGGGCAGAAACCAAAGATATACATTACAACTTATATGCAATAGAAAAACAGATCTATGCATTTAGAACCCCTTACATGACCCCAGTTATATTACTACCCAAACATAAATACGGCCATGGAATACCAGGAAAATGAAAATACTGGTAAGTATGAAGAAAATTTCATATTTCACAAACCAAACATGACACAACACCCTGTTGTTTTCTTCTCTTCTGTCACCTGAGACAAAGGTTGTATTCTATTCAAACACTGCCTAAAAGCAGCACTGCTCTACACAACACATCGTTAATGTTCCCGAAGCAGCGGATCATAGCAGGGAGTTCCGAGAGCTAGAGTCTGGGCTAGCTCATACGTTTGCACTGTTTTATAAAGCTGAATAGTAAACTATGGAAGGAGCTTTGCATAACACAATTACTTTTTGAGTTTGTTTTCATATTTTGCCAACATATCATGGGATCATCTCGGTGTTCAAACTATATGCTCCAAAAAAAAAATGTGCAAAGCGAATATTTCTCATAGGACTCATTTGTACCTGAGCTAATAAAAAAAAAACCAAAGGGGGATTACACATATATATTGTGTATATATTTCCATGGACAGAATAGAAGATATTTCACAGGACTGAATGGAAACAACTTTTCTTCTTTTTTGCTCCAAGATCTAAAATCACTTTCAGCATGCTAAGTATCAGCATGAAGGTTGCTATGCAATTGACTAGGGAGTTAACAGCCGAATATATCTTCTAATGCCTTCTAACCCAAGGACCAACTATGTTCTATTATAACATCACAAATTGTTCCCTGGAGTACAGAGCTTTATTACCTTCAGGAATATACGAGATAGTAAGACACCCAATACTGGAATATGTATTTTAACTCCTTTATTCCCAAATTATTTGTATTCATGGTTGGCTAAACAAGGAACCAGGAATGACACCCAATCCTTCATCTTGATCTCTCGCACACATCCTACAAGGATGAGTAAATATAGAGCAGTATTCTAGAAGACAAGGGGTAGTGGATATTCCAGCACACAGACATTTCTTTTAGTTTAAGTGACATTTTGGGACCCTGTTTTCCAAAAATGTTCAGCTAAAAAACTCTGCATACCTGTGAAAATGATATAATTCTGTATACATTATCAGGGTTATTAAAAAAAAATGTGAGAATTGCCAGGAATTCAAAGTGACTTCAAAATTTAAGGTCAAACTAGCCGAACTGACTGGGAGAATTTTTCCAGTTCAGCTATTTTGATCTCAAATTTGAAATTCACTTTTCCCCTGCAATTCTCACATTAGTGAATAACCCTGTATATTTTGGCACATGCTGTATGTTTTAAAAACTGAAAGGTACATTTGTCAGATTCTGTATGAAGTATGCAATCCTAGGAATATGGTAACATCTGGTTATATCTCCAGCACTTTTGCAAAATAGTAATAAATGAAAAAACAAAAAAAACATCCCAAAGAATCCAGTCCTTTTAATTTGAATCTCTCTAATGTTTTTAGTTATCCCCAGCAGCAGTGTATACAGGGAGTGGATGCTCGCTGTTAATTGTTTATGCTAGCTATACTTTTCTCAAAATCCTTTGTTTCATCTCCCCAGTAATACCTTTAGATTGTAAGCTCATGAGTTATCTTGCTAAGCACTTTGTATAAAAACTACTATATTTACTAGATTGTAAGCTCACGGGGTAGGGTCCACTGTTCTTTCTGTATCAGTATCTGTTTTATTTATTTGTCTGTATTCTCTGTATTGTACATCACTGTGGAATATGTTAGCGCTATAAAAATGCCAAACATTAGTGATAATATTCAAATTTATTTAAAATAACGTTTACCAGAAGGTCCAGAAAAAAAAGTAATTGCCAGAGTCAACAGATGGAACTGCACTCAATCCCTGTTAAATCTGAAGCTGGGTGCAGCCAAACCAGGTCTTAGAACCAAAAACCAGATGCTTAATATAAAAGATGTAGAAAGGTCCAGGCACTCTAGAATTCAACAAAAGGCAATTTATTAACCCACAGACCTACATGGTCTTTATTGAAACGTTGTGATTTGGCTGAGGGTTAATAAATTGCCTTTTGTTGAATTCTGGAGTTCCTGGACCTTTCTACATCTTTTACA